AAACCGATGCCCCCCCCCCCCCCCCCCCCTTTCCTGTGACATGCAACCCTGCCCTCATTAACACTCGCATGAGAGGACAGGACACCAAATTCCAATGATCAGCATGAAGTATTCTGTGCCAATGGGATCTGACGACCTGGCTCGGGGAACATTTTTATAATGAAACAAACTAAAATTAGGACACCAAGACTGCATGGAATGCAAAAGCTTCAGACAGAGCTTTGTTAAGCAGTGCCCTCTTCAGTATTTACTTGTATTTGATTTAGCACTGAAATGCATAGGAAAGTCTTTCCCAATAACCCAAATTATATTGCTTGATTCTATGATGTACTAAGGATTTGACTAAACAAATGCATTCCTATAGCGTGACTGGACAGCTGCATCCTACTTCTGCAGTTCGTTACAACAATTATTGATCATTTAAGTAAATTGTTCCTTAAAATAGTTAAACAGTACATACAGAGCTCTACAAATGCAAAGATGATAAAGTGTGCAGTAAAGAGACAAAAACTATGCATACAAGAGCTCCGAAATCGGGTGAGCGTCATACAAATGCACTACATAAACCTAAAGATGACTGTAATGCAACAATGTTCATCATGCAACTACAAGCTTTCTTATAACAACTAATAGCTGATATACATTTGCAGATCATAAACTATCTGTATGCCACCCAATGGTGCAAGTGGTAAACAGCGTTACCAAGGGGCCCCATGCAAGACCAATTTTTTACCCCTTTCAACTACAACAGTTATTTACTGTGAACTCAACTGATTTGTTAGCTAGATAGAACTGAACCATCCTCCGTTCTACCAGACAGTGGAAAGAGTACCTGAACCCATATGACTCACATCTACAATACTATAAATGGGCCTTCAAGACCCAGAGGACTTACGGGGATAAACTGTATTCTCACCCTTGGATAGTGCTAAGAATTGATCCTGAAGGTGCTGGAATCTACGCCATTTAGGAGAATATGAACAATCTAAAAAAACTCAAGACTAAAAAAGGTACACCACTGTGTTACTACAGCTAACACTATATTGTCACCATGTCCAGCACCATATTACATGATAAATTCTGATAGCATGACATGTAAAGACCGCTTGTAATCTTCAGTTTAAGAACACATACATCAAACAATTTGTGCTGCTAAAATACAAGAGCGTGAAGACAAGAACTACAAAACACTTGCCTGGTACTCCTGATGACAGAGATATGGCATGGATGATGGAATGCTAGCTATGTGTTCTAGTCCCTATGAACATGGCAATCTGACAATGAAGTGCTTTATGCAGTTCACTTCATAACTATTTAAAGTATGCCAATTTTCTAAATTAGCCACAATATTAGAGGACTTGACATTTTTTTTTTTTTGTCCTGCAAGTTTACGGACTATGAAGAAACAAGTGCTTGCTAGATGATACTATGACTTAAGAGGGAAGAGCAGTAAAAGGCTATTGCACCATAAGAACAGTTGAGGTTTTCAAATGTACTGTGGTATGTGTGAGGTCAAGTCCTTTTCTGCTCTAAGGATACAGTTCCTAGTATTCAAAATGTGCAGGAAATGAAAGAGCAAGAATTCTGCTATATAATGATTTAAGAAGTAGAAAGAAAAATAGTCACTCAGTTAGCATTTACCCAGCATTGTTACATCCTGGCTTCTGGACTGTTTTATCCATAGCACTGCAAACATAACACAGATTGATAGCTGAGGCATTGGTGGTGCTCAGCATGTTGTCTGTTCCACAGCTTCTTTTAGGTTGGAAGGAAGGCTGTTAGATTGCAGAATTTTTTTATTCCATATTCAAGCAAAGATACTGTACATTGCCCATTATATATGATCTAGTGGGCTGAACATTTTTGATCACTGCCTATTTTTCATTGACTATAGATAAAGAATTGCCTAAGAAATGCCCCTATGAAATTTTGCCGGTTTTAGAAATAGAATTTATATGACTGAGCATAGACCCAATGCAACTCTATTAAGTAATCTATTATATGTTTTTGAAACCACTAGAAACTACCACCAATGTATTTCATGTTGCGCTGGCTAAACCTTGGCAATAAAATCTACCTGCATGGTGTCCAAAAACAGCAAGAATCGATTAAAATCATCTTAGGTCTATAAGCACCTGTAGGCTCTCTTTTTTCAAGCCAAATATCCCCAATGCAGCATCCACTTAACAAACATGTGTTACTTTACTGTTAGCCGAGCCCAGCTTTAATTTCCAGCAAGCAAAACATACAACCTATTTTTACATACAGTATTTAAAACAAAACTATGGCTCCATAATGTTAATTAGGTTTTCAGATCCATACTGCCAAACTGGTAAGGTAGGAGAATATTGGCTACTGTTTGATGGCAACCATGGAGTAGACTTTGAAATGAGGTTTCGGCAGTGTAACAGTATGACTGCCTACACATTGCTGCCATAATTCTGTTAGTGAAAATCTTTGTTGACAAATCCATTAGTCCCGTTATTTAGTGCTAGAAATACAATGTTGCCTCAGGAGGATCACAAGGACAGCTCTGTTTTACATAATCATGTACTTCAATGTCAAGTCATTGTTTTTCAGCATAGTTGGTCTATAGGTTCAGCATCCCTCCTTAAAAGAGAACTATGGGGTAAGTGTTTTTTTCTCATAGTTCTCTTAAAGTGATATTAAAGCCTCCTTTTAAAAAAAATAAATATTTCTTTCAAGGAGACCTACCTTTGATCGAGGCTGTTGCCGTTTTTCTTTAAAAGTTTTTAATTCCTCGTTTTCTAGTGGGTCCCCGCAACAATCTTCCCCCCCGCCCCCTGCACGTGTGCCCCCGTTGGCTAATGGAGGCACCCGTGCCCGCAGTGGCTATGTGCATCCATAGACACACACAGCCCTGTGGCAGACCACTCCCCTCCTCTCTGCCCAACAGTTTGATTGGTGGCAGAAGGAGCCTATGGCTCCTTTGCCATCAGTATCCTCCCCCGTCATCCAGAAAGTTCGGGGACGGTGGATAGCTCCGGGAACGGCGGCAGGGACGAGCGTAGCTGACAGGTAAGTGTGGGGGGACGATGGGAGAAAAAAAAAGGTGCTGGCACGTTTTTACCCTAATGCAGAGAAAGCATTAAGGTTAAAAAATGCCCAGACCTTAATACTACTTTAAGGGTCACGGGAGGACATATACTAACCCCCTCCCGTGACCCAAAGCTCAGTATATAGCGAGCTATAGCGAGCTACAGCTCGCGGTATACTTAGACCGCCGGAGTCTAGATGGATACCGACAATGCTTTCGAGATCCACCCAGCTGCGTGAATGAAGCTGGCTCTGCCTATCTAGAGGCAGAGCCAGCTGTGTCCCCGCCGCCTCCCCCGTCCGTTCTCCAGTCAGCGCTGGAGGATTGTAGTGTGGAGGGGGGAAGGTGGGAATCCCTGCATGGAGCCGTGACTCACAGTCACCTCTAGATAGGCAGAGCCAGCTGTCAATCCCGCAGCTAGGTGGATCTCAACAGTAATGTCGTGATCCATCCCGGCTGAGTTTAGGGTGACAGGAGGACGCTAGTTTGTGTCCTCCCGTTACCCTTAGGAGAACTATGGGGAAGATCCCTGACCCCATAGTTCTCCTTTAAGCAGACCTGTGCAGCATTGCACAACAATGTTCTTGCCCTGAAGCAGTGCTTCTAGAAATCTGGCCAAGGCAGCCTTCAGCACTGGATGCTAATGCAAGATCCTGAGTCATCCATATATTTTTTCTTAAAGAGCATGTGCATGCCAGTAATAAGGTAAAAAGTCCTTTCTGGTTAAAAGCATAAAGAAAATGCAACCATAAAGTAATCAGAAAAACATGAAAGAACATTAGAATATCAGCTTTTAAAAGCACAGTAAGCTTGTTTTACCATGACTCACCTTTCACCTTGGCAATCACAGTTCCAGCAGCTCCAAGGATATCCACAGAATTAAGTGTCTGATGTTTGCCGATTATAGCTTTCAGAACTCGCAGCAACTCCCCTAAACGCTCATGCACTGCATGATGTAAGTTGTCTTGATTTTCTGAAAAAGCAAAAAAAGTCAAATTAAATAAAAGCAAAAAAGGGAAGCTAAAAAAGAGAGTGTTAAAGCACTTTGTAGCACACATGATAGGCAGGCTTTATTCACCTGGCCTGCACTCCCACAATCCAATAAAGGAAACACTTAGTACTTCAAGGTAAAAGGAGAACATGACCAGCAGATGGAAATCCCCACAACTAACTTATCTTAGGCAAAACAGTAGGAATCAGTAGGAGAATATAACCCAGCCAAACAATGAGATACCAATGAAATCAGTGTCTAAGTAAAGGTGCCCATACACCTTACAATGTATTAATTTTTTTGTGGTCAGATGGAAAAAGTGCAACAGATTGGCCCAGGTGGAGATTACTCCATCCACACAGTTAAGTGTAGATGGAGGAATCTGTTGCACCTTTTCCATCTGACCACAGAAAATCTGCAGATAATTGTCAGGTGTATGGCCAGCTTAAGTTATAGTGTGCCATTTCATGACTACCATCTTCTATTAACTAGCTTCTACAAAAGTTTTGCCCCGTCAATGGCAGGCTGGGGAACTTGGGTCTGCATGCATTTTGGTGCATTGTGTTGTATGTTTTTGTGCATTACCATTCATCCCCATGAAAAGTGTGTTTTCTGGAAATCGCACTGAAGTTGCTAGGATACCCAATGCACCCAAAATTCACAGATGTAAATATATCCTAACAGTATAGAAAGTATAGAATATTTTTTCAGAGATTATATATTTTGAGCTACATGTTGCCATTATTTTCATTATTGTATACTATATGGAGGCAAGTAGATTAGCCAACTACGGAGCTCTCAGTGGATATTCACAGAAGACTTTACTTTGGAGCATAACAAAATTTCTAGCCACAGACGTACGAAAACTGCATTTGAGAATCTGCAGAGGGAATGTTTCCGATAGTCCTCATCAGTATTTATGCATGCATCCCACAACAGTAACTCTGCCAGTAGCATAAAACAAGCACAAACTAATACTCACCTGCTTATTACTCAGCTGTAGATCCTCAAATCATCTCTGAATTGGTGTCGACAATGTCCTTCCTTCTGGAGTGTGGCTACTTTTGTTCGCCTTGGTCCCTGTGTGTGTTGCAAAGTAGTCACCACTCCAAGGTCGTGATGGACTACAATCTAGTGTTTAGTTGACTAATTTCTATTGAGATTGTAGTCCGTTACGGGAGCAAGCTTGGAGCGGTGGCTACTTTACAACAAACACAGGGACCATGGAGAACAAAAGTAGCCACCCTCCAGAAGGAAGGACAGTGTCAGCACAAATTCAGAGATGATTTGAGGATCTACAGCCGAGTGATGCACAAATAAGATACATTTTTGTTAATAGGCTACTTGAATAAATTTTTAAGATTTAACACCAGAGTTTAGTATCACTTTAAGTTCTTATTTAAGAAACCCATGAATTGTGGCCCTTGTCGGCACATGTGAACATACAAATTTCATGCTGTCTGGGCCCTGGCAGGATGTTATTTCAGGCAATGCTTTGAGTTCACAGTCTACTTAAAGGGTTGTGAAGATATTTCAACTGTCAATGAAAGGATTAGAGGGAAAACATTTTGAGTTTGTTATTTTAGAGAAAATAAAAAACACAAAATGAAAACACACTTTTGTTATTCAATTTTTCATTGCTGGCTGCCTGCCTGCAATTAAAAAGTAATTATCTTCGTTCAATCCCCTTTTCTGAGACTTCAATTTGAGCCTTTCGGTCCTGGCCACTGTACAAATTGTTACCAATCCGCTTGTTGTGAACTGGGTTTCAAATCTTGCTCTGGCAGCTGGAAAAGGGGCCGTTTGTGGAGTCTGTGTACCAAGTCACAGGTTTGTTCTCAAATGTTTACCCACATGGAATGCGTCTTGTGTTAGACTCCTCACATGTTTACCTTTCTATTTCTGTACAGGAGCCATGGCCAAATATCAAATCTGATGTTGGCACTAAAAAAAGATCACAAGACAAGAACATGCAAATCACATACGCCACAATAAACTCGCTTCCACATCCACGGAATATAAATGAAGCCTGTTCCAGAAAAATCAACTATTTTAGATTCCTATTTGCAGGATTTTCCTATTCAGAGATAGTTTTTATTCACTTGCAATGTGCCTGTGAACTTTTTTGAAAAATTGGCTTGTCAATTTCGTAGCATAACCCACTCTCTCCTTGTTCAACATAGCCCTCTCCTCCTCTGGGATTATCTAATTAGTGCTGGCCCAGCTCCTCCCTTAACCCCTTCATGACTGAGGCCCTTTTTTCATTTTTTTGCACCCATGTTATATTCCAATTTCCCTAGATCACCTGTATGTCATGTAACAGCTGTGCGAGGAGCGAATAGAAAAGATTGTCACCGGAGTGACATCTTCCAGTCTGATGGGGCCTTTGACCTCACAACCAAGATGGCAGCACCCAGCAGCAGTCTCGAGGCTTTTGGATATCTATATAATGGTGACTTTTACATCTAGTTATTCTAGGCGGTGATTTCAGCAAATAATGTGGAATTGTTCAAGTAACTTTTGGACGATTTCTTAAGGGACCGTAATATACAGGGGTACGGGTACTCCTAGAATGAGATCCTAATAGGTTGGACTTGATGGACTAATGTCTTTATTCAACCTCAAATACTATGTAACTATATACCTTTAAGAAGCAGCCACACTACGGAGAATGATGAAGAGGATGTGTCACATAGATCATCACTTCCTCCTTATTCAGATAAACTTAGATGTTGTGACTATACCAGGTAGGAAGTATAAAAAGGAAGAAAAGTATGAAGCTTGACAACAGAAAACACAAAACCATATCAAATGACTGCCATGCAGAAAGTACCATGTAATATACTGTAGTTTCACTTATTAGTGACCAAGCTAAATAAAACATTTAAAGTGCATGTGAACTCTCAAAATAATTTTCTCTTACTTACTCCATTTTGATCAGTTATATATACTATTGAAAGTACAATTTTTAAGAAAACATAAGTGAGCAGGAAAAAAAACACATTTGTTTTATTTCTTATGACATTCATATTCAACTGTAGGACATAACAGAATGGCACAATCATAAAACAAAACATGGCAACAAATAAAAAAAATGAAATGACCCTTGTTCAAGTCTGCATACCCTTAGTTAATAGTGTGTATTGTCCCCTGTAGCATCAATGACAGCGTGCAGTCTTTTGTAATAGTTCTCTATGAGGCCCCACATTTTTGCAGGCTTGCTAGCAGTGGATATATGCAAAAAAAACAAAGCCAGAGTTTAATTATACTTTAAGTCGTTGGTTGAGCCCAATGGCTTGGTTTCAGTTCATCCTCGCAAAGCAAAGGTCTACCTTCCCAAAACAAAAAGGTGCCATCCAAATTGAGAAATCCACACACCAGTGAGCCTAAAAGAGCCCGAAAAGGTCATCTCAAGAGTCCAAAATTGCTTTATCAATATCACAAATATATCAGGAACACAACAGGCAGCTAGCGTGTTTTTATAGCTGCTGGGGGAAAAAGACCTTCCCTCATTTTCTGTCCAAGTGACAGTGGTTACCAACACAGTGAGGGCAAATCTCTCTTAAGGAAGGACACTGCAACAAAAAACACTCTAGTTTTGGTTAGAACCACAGCCAGGAAGGCCCAAACAGCAATAAAAACCAGTCTAATAAAAATAATAATAATAATAAATAGACCTTGTGTGTCCACTTCTTCCCAGTATATCTGAGCTGGTCTAGCAGACAAAAAAGCTCTGTGCTTTTAGGATAATATAATGGAAACCAGCAAATCTGGTATTACTGCTCATTAGCTGTTCCTCAATATTATACAGACCTACAAACATATTTGTGCCCAGATACGGAAATTTAGTAAATCAAAACTAGTTCCTATGGGAAGCTGCACATCCCCTATGGTACTCCTGGCTAGGAAAAGGGAGAAGCAATTACCCATTACAAGGATTTGCTGGAGCACAAGCTAAACAAGACGTAGAAATAGGCGATGATACCTCTTTTCTACCTCTGATCCTTTCATTGCTAGTATCTAGGTTAGCAGAAAAAAATAATAAAATGATACACTTAACAAAAAAAACATTTTCTTGGCTGATCAATGAATAAGCAGGAAGGTATTGTAAAACATAGTATTAAAAAAACAGAATCCGAGTGCGACTATACATATACTGTGTGATGAAATGCATATGATTTAAAGTGTACCTGTGTGAAAAACTAACCAAGGTTAGTGTATAATGGAGATCCGAAACGCACCTTCCGTTTAACACCTTGCCCTCTGCAGAATTCCGCTGAAGATCTTACACAAATACTTGACAATGTTGGGGCTTGGTGTTTGGTTGGTTAGAAAATGAGCACTGCTTTTAAAAAGAAGGGATGCAAATTCACCTAATACCTGCAAGTCTTCGGGGGCTTTGGAAGGCAAGATGGCAAATGCAAGAAATGCTGCGGCACTCTCTCCAACACTAACCCAAGTTTGAATTTAACACAACTGATACAAATATGCTTTAAGGAAAAAAAAAAAAAACTAAAAAAAAACTCCAGACTTTGGAAGTCAGGTTATGAGCCGGTGACAAAGAGGTTTATCATTAAATGAGACAATGACCCAGAACAGTGTCAGCACATGCGTATAGACGCTAAAAGGTATTTCTTTCTTCTATAAAATGTGTGACTGAACAATAGACCATAACTTAGTATAGTTTTCCAGAAACGTTTATTGGCCTGCACAAAGTACTCAGAGAGCAATATTAATTACTTGGCACCTTTGAGGAAAGCCTTACACAAAAAAGCAGCAGGAAAACATGAGTTGTGAAGCTGATGAAGTAGGGATGAGGTAAAAGTTTCGTTTAGAACTTTGTTCCCAACTATAGTTTTGAAAAAAATGGCAAAGTACTGTGGTGTCAACCGGCCCAAGGCTAGTTCACACCAGCCACAGTGCATTCCGGCCTCATTGGGGCAGGAACGCACTGGATCACATTGCGGCCGGCTCATTTTGTT